TCCAGCATTTCAATTGTAGCATAAGCAAGAGCCTCCATGCAAAAATATAGGAACAATTTCAAACACATTAGACTGTTAGTAAAACTTTATAATAATAAATAAAAAGAAGAAATAATTCTAGATAATGTGAAAAAATTACCTATGGTCACAGCAACGGCGGGGTGTGCGCGTGAGTCGCAGCGCGCGGGCGGGAAAGCGATATCACCGTAGCCGGGCAGGGAGCGCGCAAGCGCCAGGTACTCAGGCGCACGTCGCACCTCTTGCAGCCCCTTCAGTTGATAAAGCCTTGGCCCGGCCGAACACACGCCCCGGTTCACGTCTTCTACAGCCTACATCACATTATTGCGGTTATACATTAAATGTGTTCAAAAACAGTTCTCCATTGTATATTATACATATTAGTGTATGCACATGATTTTTTATCATGAGCCCATGAAATTGATAACAATTAGTGGTTACAAGAAAAGAAGGAATTAGCTTCTATAAATTTGATGAACATTTTTAAAGAAAGTATCATTACAATCATACATATCTTATTATACATAAAAAAAAGAAATTACAGCTAATTAATTATGATATACCAGAAATTTTGTATCACTACTGCATTTGACTGTGATGAAAAATTTAGATTTATTGTACAAAAATAAGTTATATATTTTGAACACTATTCAATTACTTCATTTCTTTAACATAATTATTTTTCATTACTATTTACATGTATATTTTATCTGTAAATATTCAAATACCATGTATTTAATATAATAGATTATTTTATTTTTCAAACTATTTTATAAATTTCCCTTTTCGTGTCCACACCTGCCAGAATATAAAAGCAGCTGCTTTCGAATCCTCTTTGATCACAGACACTTCCCGGTCAGGGTTGAAGAGCCACTTGCGCACGGACAAGCAACTGCTCGACGCCGTTGAGTAGTTCTGGATATAAAGGGAGTGTGGGCACTCGTTTGGTTGTAATTTGCGTTCTGGAAAAATTTCAAAAGGAAGTTCATAACAAAAAAAAGGAAATTTTAAAAAATCGCGAAATTTTACAGTGGTTATCGCTTATGGCTTAATAAGAAGGAAGGCTCTTCGTTTTGGATAGGATTTTTGCTATATGTTATACATATGAGATACTATTTCCGAAATTCGCCTAAATCTTTAATTAATAGATCAAAAAATTTAAATGAAGTTACACTCACCAAAATTATATTCCACAATTTCAAACAGGTAAAAGTATTTCTGCACTGATTTAGAGAGACCAATTTTTTCACAAACTGCTCTGTAAACGTCGTCGGCGTTTGTTGATTTAAGTACTGATACGGTGACTACTTCTTTATCTGGTAGAAGCACCTTCAGATCTACAGGTGACGGATTCGAGGAGTCATCAGAATCCGTGAGAAATTCTTGTACCGCATCCGATTCTGCTATTACGCGTACTGCGCACACCTGTACAAGATGTTAATTAGAAATCTTTAGTAACTTTGATGAAAATGTTCTAGATTAATTTATGGTAATGAAAAACAAAATGTGACTCAGAATTGCTGTTTATTAACTATAAACCCTTCTACTATAAAAAAAAAACTATAAAAGTCTTCTACTCTTATTTAAAATGGTTTTCAAATATATAATGTGCTTACATAAACCCACTTTAGTTACACAGAAGACAAACTATTAAATTTTCTTGTGTTATAAGTATTTACAGAATGACCCACTTATTTGCACATACTTTGGAGTATCTATGTAGACACAAATAAAAAGCTAATATAAATTCACTAATTTGTAGCAGACCCATATCCTTGTCATTCGCTCCGTGAGTGAATATAGCCCCACCAAATGTTTGCATTAAAGGAGGCTTTTAGAGGTATTTTTACTATGAAGGTGAATAGGACTTGGCGATTACAAAAATTATTATTGATTAAAAAAAATTGAGCATATTCAAAACGAGTGACAATTGATATTTGTTCCTATGTTATATTTTTATGATTTCGGTAATCAATTTTAAATAAGAAGATAATTTTAAACTATTAAAAATTAGGTTAAGTAATGTTAAAAAGCAATAAAAATTATACCTTGGCAAATAATACAAATCAAAGAACATTTAAATAGTTATTTCTCAATGAAATTATTATATATTCGTTAAATTAGTAAAGATTATTTTCATATTTACTTTTAAATGAAACATGGAAATAGTTACAAAAGTGAGTTTCCAATCAAACACATAAAATTACATTCAAGCCATAATCATCAAAGGAATAAAGTATTTTTTTACTCAAGTCACACTACATTAGTATCGTTATCGTTATAGTTATCGTTACATCGTTAAATGTGATTAAAAAAATTATGATTTATGTCACATCAAATAGTATGAGAATTATTTAATTAATAAAATTGTTTTTTTTTTTGTTTTAGATAAATAACACTCGATACGTAACTGATGTGCGAAATGAGTAAAGTTTTTCTCATTGAATAAAAAATTTTAAAAAATAAGTTAATCAAATATTAAAAATTATCCCATGTTCCATTTAACTGTCTTTTTGTTATTACATTCATATTCCATCATGAACTCAAAAAAAAAAACACCATAAAATGTAAGTAACAAAAACCAAAATCAGCACCACAACAATATCCATTAACTAGGTATAACATAAGCAATAATTTTAATTTTAATTTATGCTTAAGATTTTTAAATTAAAATTAAAAAAGCACAATTAATTTTAGAAAATGCACATGCCTTTTGAACAAAATGCAATTTGGTTCTCCCCATCTACGACTTCGCGCGGAGCGGATATAAAGGTATGTCAAATCATCAAAAACTTTAAGAAATATGTATGCATATTTCTTGGATGATACAACAATGACGAATGTATAGAATAACTAGTGGGCCCAGAAGACATTAGTCTACTCTTCTGAGACATGGCGCGTCCGTATAATTGACGACCGCGGTTTCGCTCGCCGTGGACGTACAATGAATTCCTTATTTTTTTATATATATACACACACCAGACGTGTTTACCAATTCATCTACCTACCCATCCACCGATTTACCCACTCATGCTATTCAATCATCCTTTCACCCGGCCTTTCACTATAATCTGGCTATCCATTCATCCACACATCCGACCATCTGGTAATCCACCCACGGGATCATAAACGCATCCGGTCATTCAGCTATCTGGCTATCTACCCATTTAGTCATCCAACCATCCATATTCTAAAAAATGAAAGTTAACTAAGAAAGATTTTATCTTAGTTCGCATTAAATTAATCAAAACAACTGTGAAATTATACATATTAACGAAAACTGATTAGTTATAACAACTAGTTAATTTGTAATTGAACTAAGAATGTAGTTACTATATTAATTCTAACAAGTATATACACTATTTCTATCACTACTTGCTTTCTTACATAATTTGATAAGATTTATTTAGTTAACTTATATATATATATATAGATTAAATCAATTCAAAATAAATAAATTGAAATAATTAAACAAATTAATAGTTTTTCATTCTTTTCAAGTCAAATTAATAAAGTAGTATTTGATTTTCTTAGTACTTGTTAATTACATCAACTACTCTAATACTCATTCTTTTTAAAACAACAAAGATAAAATGATCACGTTTAATACTTATTAATATTGGACTGATTATTAATTAAATTTTAATTGTACTGAGAATCATTGCTTAAAACGATTTTCATATAAGTTGAGGTAAATAATCAATTTATCGATTGAAATAAGTGACTATCCTTCCCACCTCACCTCAAAGGGCGGCGCAGAGTCAGGAGCCGAAGCCAACTGAACAAATCTAGTGCAGATCGTTAGTCAATAGTTACATGAATAATTGTTTGTGCGCCGCTCGAGTTATACCGGTTTATTTCGTTCATGACTTCATTTTATTCATTTGGTACCTATTTGTACTACTTGTGAAAAGTCAGACATAGTTGCATCAATAAATGAGACAGTCATGATATTGTTGGTTGGTGTTGATGTTGAAAAAGTGTGTAGGTACCAAAAGTATAAAGAACCAAAGAATGAACCAAACACAGCATAGAAAGATGTTAAATTTCTCTAATACATTAATATCGTCGATATTTTGTAACATAAATATTTTAACAATAGCGCAAAAAATATGTAACATTAAACTGTACTGTTTAAAAATTAATAAACAAGTATTTTTTTATACTTTATTTTTGTTTCATTTTATCTAAAATTAATCGCATACGTCATTCACGACAAATAATGAGATTTATTTTCGGGATTCAATTACTGACAATAAATTAGATTTTTTAAATTTGATATGTTCTGTGAATTATTTATAAGCTGTGATATTTTGGACATAAATAGGTTTTACTTCACTTTTCTTCTCATAGCATTAAAATCAATTTTGATTTTCTATAATTGCTGATAGATAAAATATAGCACAGCACACGACCATGCTAACTATGATCGAGGCTGGTTGCGGGTGCAGCAGAATGTCATGCTGAAACTAATTTTCAAAGTGTATATCTTAGGCCTGTATTGATAAACTGTACTCAACTTTGAAACCGCATTTGAGTTAGCCCTTTTTTTTATTTAAAATTATTATAATAATTAGTTATTATAATAACTTTGTTATTGATATTGACCAGGTATTAATTGAATTTGTTAAGATTATTAGTTGGTATAGCCATTTATCAAATTAATACTGAATAAGATTTGAATTGCTTTAGTTAACTAATAATAATAAGAGCAATACAATTGACAAGTCCATTGAATAATGATAATCAAAATCATCTTATTTGAAGTGTCTAAAATCTTGTTAGACTCGTATGGAATAATAATAATACCTTCGGACAATACGCAACACCATCTGATCCCAAACTAAGCAACGAAGCTTGTACTATGGGTACGAGACAGTTGATATATTACATACATATTTTTTTGCAATTATATACATATAATATACAGAAACACCCAGACTCGAGACAAACATTATTTTTTAATCAAATAAATAATTGTTTATCTTGTGCGGGAATCGAACCCACATCCCAACGCAACAGGTAGGGTCACTACCACTATGCCAAGAAGGTAGTTAATCAAGATACTTGATTACGGCAATCATAATTTTCTTAGAAGCAACCTATTGTTTTTAGAGTGCAACCTTTCTCCCTAATCTGGATATAGACCTATTCACACATTTGACCATTAGGAAATTCACACATATGGCCATAAGAGCATCTGCTCATCTACGCATTCGATCATCCAACCATCCGGCCTTCCACACTATTCTACCCATCCAATCATCCACACATCTGAACATCTGTAAATCCATACAAGCAGCCCTACCTGCATCCATTCATTAGGCTATTTAGGCCATTTGCAAAAATTTTGCAAAATGTTTCAAAAATTACAGAGAAATTCAAAAATTATGTCGCTATGAAGTTTATCACATGCTCAGAAAGTAAAACATGTCTAAAAATATAATAACCGTGTGACCTTCTGCAGAGTCGAAAAGATAGGGGTATTCAGTTAGAAATCAATTGACACAAAAGATGAAGGTATTTATTATACGTCCATGCCGGCGCAGCTGGACATTAGTTATACAGGCAAGAACAAACAAAAAAGGGCAGAACAATGTCTGCCGGGCCAGCTATTTTAAAATTTACCAATTACAAGAAAAAACATTTATAAACGGATTCTAGAGAAAAGATTGTGGTATACATTTTTTTCCCCATTCGTTATTCTCGACATATCTTTCAATGACAATACAAAATAAAATAGTCCCTGACAGTCATATGTTTTTCTTAAAATTTAACTTTACATGTTAAGATTGTTGTAAAGCCATTCTTAATTAACAATAAATTAAACTTTATAAAAACAGACAGTCTCCAAAAAAAAAGGCTGCGAATGTGTGTTTCCATAAAGAAATCATTTTCTTTCAATATTTCTATGAGAGACCATAACAATATAGACCGACTTAGAGACTATACAAACACAATTTTTATATTAGACTAACTTCTCACAATTGCGTAATAGCAAATGATTTAAAATAATAGGTTAAAATTGATGTCAATTAGTGGCAATTGATTTCAATTGCAAACTTAAATGACAAAAATTAAACGGCTCCGATACATACAGTTATCAATAATTTAAATACAGCATCAAGAAATTTAAGTATAATCAAGAGGTTGGAAAGGAGAAAAAAACATTTTTAAACATAATTCTCACTTTTTCCAAATACTGCTCCAGACCACGCCGGCGAGCGTCCAACTGCTGCTCTGACAACGTGAACGGCCACTTCCCTGGCAACTTTGGAAAATTAAAACCTGAAAGAGTGCATCAATGAAATTAGCCCACATTTTCTAAGAATTTATATGTTTACTAGTTTTTAATGCATATATGACAAATATAATATAAACAACTATGTAATAAGATTTTTTTATATTATTACGATCCAAGCTATAGCATTAGTAAAAAACTCAAACACTATACTACCACATTTATGTGGGGGCACCTTAAACGATGTAATGAAAAAATAGAAGCTTTAAAAAGTTTTAGTTTCAATTTATGTTCATCATATTAAGATAAGAGTCATAACATAGAACTTTTCTAAGCATATAAAAGAGTAACTTACCAATAAATTCTTTTCTTAGTTGTTGATGCAAAGCAGAAAACTCCCTATAACGTCGACTACACAAATGTCTACCGGCCATGTGCACGTTGAACGCCACATAAGATCTTCCAGTGTTCCGTTCCATAACTACCCGGTAGTCGGGAATGGAGACGGGCAGTGATCGCTTCTCCGTGTAGTCGTAACGTTGGTAGACCGTCGCGCGGGAGTTGGCAGCTCCGCCGATGACGCCGATGGGCGCGGAGCCGTCGTCGCATGGCTCCAGACGCTCCGCCTCCTTTCGAAATGAAAAATTAAAAAAAAATTGATCTTGTACGAAACCACAACAATGGTTGTTGTAATGTAATTATAAATTAACACTAGGTATCATATATAATCGCATGTAGTTCACTGATCCTGGAGTATTGGCCTGATTAAATGAAACCATGTTCCTTAATCAATGTACTTGTTGCTTAATGTTTGTTAAGATGCTCTGTTGTATGTGCATCGTTAATAGTGAGTCGTAATCAATAATACAGTGGCATAACCTTCTTACTCGATTCAACTGGTATAGCGGGGTACTTTGACAATATAAATATAATAAAAACTGATTATGCCGTTAATATGTAAATATGTTTTGTCTGACCGATACTGACATGCATACGACTCTTTGATATATGCCATTAACATGTAAATACATTTTGTCTGACTGATACTGACTGACATACATTGATATATATATAATATTCTTTTGACATTAATGTGGTACACACGGGGACTTGTTGTCCCCAATAATGGCTCCCGCCTCTCCCTCACAGCCAACCCTCACCGCTATAGAGATAATTCATTATCTTCAAAGATCTACTACATTGTCCCAATACTAAAATTAGCCTATCATGACCATAGCTATTTATCTAGCATTCTATGATTATTACATTATTTAGCTATGGTTTCAGCGATTTTAATGAATGAAAATTGATATAAAGGAAGAACATGTGATTGCACAAATGACGGGCAATCTGTCTGTTTGTCTGTCTTTTTATAACTTAAAACAGGTTACATAAATCTGTCATTTAATCTATTGTTATTTACTCCAACTGTTGTAAAGAGGTAAAATTTGCAAATTTGGATGTAGGGTGTAATCTCTGAAACTACTGTTCCAATTCAGAAAATTTTATAAATAGGAAGCTATTGTTCTAATTCCTGAGTACTAAACGCCATTTTCATTCTGATAAAGATATATATTTAGTGAGAAATCGCAATAATAGTAATTGCAAGACAGAAACTAGACGTATGATTGATTTTATGGTTTGTGGTGATAAACGGTTTGAAATAAAGAAATCAATGTAAATAGAAACAAGCTTTAGAAATAAATCCACGATATCGTATATCTATGTATATCCATGTTTAACATTTCAGTCACAGAGACGAATTCAATGTTACAAGTGAAAGAAATTTACCAAATTAAGTGTGTATATTGTTTTCAAGTGCACTCTATGGATTCTTATAAAAACAAATAGTTTAATCATAATCAGTATGGAGCGGTGGTGGCTCGGTAGTTAAAGCTCGGCTTCGGATCAGAAGGTATCAGGTTCAATCCTGACCACGACCGAAGTGACCACTGAATTTTTTAACTTAAATCAACGTAAACCGCATGCTCCGTGCCTCGAGGAGCACGTCAAGGTGTCGGTAGCGGACGTTGTCACCGCGTTGGTGACGAGTCTTGAATAGCGCCCAACCCGCATTGGGCCAAGGTGGAAGACTTAAGGTTCGAATCCACCAATCTGAAATAAAAGGATTGTAGGAGGGCATGGCTTAACAGTGGGATAAATGAAGCGTGACCCAACAATCAGTATGCAATTTCAGAGATACGGAGTTTGCTTTTTACAGCACATTCATTGAAAAAAAATTTGATGTGGAGAAAAGCGACTCGTCAATTCATGCATTACGAGATTTTAGAAACTATAAGCCCGATTGACATTAAATTTGATCAGATGATATTTTGTACAATCTAAGGAGCCAATGAGAAAAAAAATTTGGAAATTAACTTTTTATCGGAGTAAAAGGGAGTTGATTGTGAAACGTTTTCTGAAACGAGTAATCAAAAATGGCGAAACGCGTCTTTCGCAATAAAACGAAATGATTCTAAAAAATATGTAATGAATAAGAAACTCTTTAAGTAATTAGACTAATAACATTTCGCACTGACGTCATCTGCATATTTGTGCTATTACAGATTTTAAAAATTCTTCCACTCATAGAAAGCTAATATCTTTGAGTAATATAGTCTAAATTTTAATTTCATACTAGCCCCGATCAATTCGGAACAGTGACCGGTAAATAAATAGAAATTTCGAACTGCAGAATCAAAAATCGAAACAAAAGTCGAGATTAAAATGAGAACGGAACCAAGGTCGGAATCGAGTGTGGGACTAAATTAGAATCAAGAGCATGATTGGAATTGAAATAAATAGTTGTACCGAGACCAGAATTTAGAACGGGACTAGAATCATTATCTACTTAGAACGATAGCGGGTTCGCAATCAAAAGCGGGATAGCGGTCGGAATGGAGAATGACACAAATCGGCATCGACAGTAGAACCGGGATAACGATCGTAATCGGTCGATATACAAAATGAAAGGATTTATTCTATGTAGACGCGAGCGGAGCCGTGGGCGGAAACTAGCAATGTAAATAAATTTATAGTATCTACCATATATATTATTGCTTGTTCATAACGATTATGATGGTCACTGGCGATATTGCGTTTTACATTTCATGTTTACACATTTTTTTTTTGAGCCTAAAGTTGATATCGCAAAAATAAGTTTAATAAAATGTTGGCCAAATGATCAGTATGATGTTTTGTAATTAGAAAATAATGGATTCAATCCTTGAAATAAAATTATTTTTAAATATACCGATTCCGAACACTTATTTCGTAACTTACGTTTGCATGAACACAATAGCGTCCTTCCCTTTTTGTATCGACCCTAATGGTCATGCGAACGAAGCCGCGGATCATATTACTACCATAAAACATCTGAACAAGATGATTTTTTAATGATAAGAATTATTTAAAGTATAGGTATATACAGATAGACGTATCGATGACACTTCAAGCCTGACCGGGCGGAGGTGTGATCTGTACATTCCGCTCAGAGAAATATATATACATATAAATAATGCCTCATATCCATTTCTCGGATATTACATATGATTAGAATTTTATCTACAGTTGAAATATGTCGGGCGTACCTTAGGCGTGACCGAGATGACGGTGAGCGTGAGGCAGTCGCCGCCGGACTTGATCAGGTCCACGACCTGCTTGTGCGTGGCGCCCTCCACGTTGACGCCATTGCTGCGCAACAGCACATGCATTTATCATTTACGATAGTAATACAGAATAAATGATTATATTGCTGGAAACTTTATAATAAACTTTGAAAACTTTGTGGCCTTCATGAGGTTCGATTACC